TGTAGATTCATATAATTAATTCATATATTCATTTGTATAATTCCCGTAGCACTCTTTTTTGTTTTGCTACTGAAAACTGTGCTTTATGCTGAACAGTATATTTATCTATCCTCAGTTATTCAAGTCACGGTAATCGAATACGGTTATAGCGATAATTAAAATATGAAACGGTAATACTAACCGTGGGGAATTGTATCATGATTTATCGTCAAACCGGTAATCGTTACATCCCTAGTCTAAAGTTGAACAACAACGCATGATCTTCCAACATACAAGTTTCAAGTACAAGGTCTTATTATTGCTAACTAAAAAAATTAATAAATACATTTATTACTTGATATAAAGTGAAATAACATTTATATTTTATTTCAGCTAGTTAACAAGGCAACATTTATTATTTTCAATTAGTTTATCTTATAGTATAATAACTAAAACGGAATAAAAAATAATAAAAATGACATAACTAAAACTAATAAAAATGACAAAAAATATTAAAACGTAAATGAAATTATAAATATGAAAAAAATAAAAAATAATGTAAAATTTAAACAAAAACTATAATAAAATCTCAGTGATTCTAAAATAACACTGCTTTGAATAGAGATCACTCACATGGTCGTCCGATGCACTAAGCAAGTTTCCACTCAGGTTGGCGTTCCAGGACAAACCGTATCCCTCCTTCTGATGCCCCCGCAGTCTCAGGTCTGGATCACACTCTCCACTGGGGTCTGCAAATGGACAATTTACAATTATTATTCAAAGCGAGTGTCTTCGTGCATGATTTAATATAGGGCTGCAACAAATCTGATTATCAATTAATTACATCTTTATGCTGTGTACGGAAAACAACCGCCAGTCATGTCACAATTTTAAATGCATTACTATCTGAAAAATACCAGAGGCCTGAGAGTGAGCTTCTGTGTTGAATCTTCATTGAGCTTCAGACTTAGCTTTTGTTATTATTTACTACTTTGAGCAGGCTTTAGAATATAATGTGTACATTTAAACCCTTTCACGCAATGTATGACATAGTCCACATATATTCACTATATTTGTTTTCATAGCCTTCAATTGGCACATTTTTGGAGGACAACATTGTGCAGAAGTAGAATAATGGTTTACTTTTTAAATAAAATAGAGACTAAAATTTACATTTTTTAAATAAAATTAATCAGACATAATCAGATTAATTCATTTGAAAAATAATCGCTTGCTGCACAATTTACATGGCTTCTTTGGATAAACTGAAAAACACTGGGTTGCATTCACTAAGAGTGTGTATGCATGAATTTTGGCCTAAATCTCAGAATGTTTTCATGAACAATTCATTATTCACCAACAACTTTTCTCCTAAATTTACAACAACAAAAAAAAAATGTAGGAACAAATGAAACCTCATGTACATAAAAATCACATTCTGTGGGTGGCCTAAGAATCGTGTTAAATATACTTAGATATTTCATCTTAAATATATTTCACCGTATACAGTGATAAAATATGTGTTATAGTGCGCACTAAGTGGTTACTCTGTATAAATACGCAGATACGTGCATGTACAGTTGGCTAATAAGAGGTCTGTATAAAATGTGTTTAATGTGTCTGAACTGGTTTTGAGGATGACAAACGACAAACTTGCCATTGCTCAAGGATCTTGCCTCTTTCAGACTAGAGAGCATCTTTAGAGTGCATTGTGTTTTTTGAGAGTGGCGGAGAGCTGTAAAGGAAAGGTTGTGCAGAAAGCCTGCATAAGGAGATGGTTTGGGCTTGCTTTATGCAAACGAATAAGCTTGCACACTTGGTCATTCAAATTCACTAACATTAGAACAAGGTTGAGAACCTTTTTATGTGGCAATTTCTTCTGTGCATAGAAGTACAAAATAATCCATACAATTTATTTGTGACCGAGACCCACTGACCTGGCTTGGATGGGTGTTTGGTGTAGTCAAACACCAGCACGTCAGAAGTGGGGGTCTTGGTGGCGATGATGCAGGGGTTTTGAGGCATGTATCTGGCTCTGTTCACTTCTCCTTCATGGTTGATCTTAATTTCAATCTCGATCTTTCCGCTCACCGACCCAAACCCTCCAAACTCTGGGAAAAATACAACCATTAGTAATGTCCAACGTTTGATCTCTGTCCCAGTTCAACTTTATGAAATCATCAGTTTGTATCATTCAAAAAAATAAAAAATAACACTATTACATCTGGTTTCAAAGACATTCATTAATCTTTAAAAACACAAAGCCATTTTTCATGAAACCTGAAAGACTCAAAATCCATTTCACCGAAATGTTAATAAATAATCCATATGAATTAAGATGTTTAATCCAAGTCTTCTGAGGAGACACAACTGTTTTATATGATGAACAAATATAATATAGGCTTTTATTCACATATAAACATTGATCAACGCTCATAAAGAACATCAAATAAACCAGCACGTCAGAAGTGGGGGTCTTGGTGGCGATGATGCAGGGGTTTTGAGGCATGTATCTGGCTCTGTTCACTTCTCCTTCATGGTTGATCTTAATTTCAATCTCGATCTTTCCGCTCACCGACCCAAACCCTCCAAACTCTGGGAAAAATACAACCATTAGTAATGTCCAACGTTTGATCTCTGTCCCAGTTCAACTTTATGAAATCATCAGTTTGTATCATTCAAAAAAATAAAAAATAACACTATTACATCTGGTTTCAAAGACATTCATTAATCTTTAAAAACACAAAGCCATTTTTCATGAAACCTGAAAGACTCAAAATCCATTTCACCGAAATGTTAATAAATAATCCATATGAATTAAGATGTTTAATCCAAGTCTTCTGAGGAGACACAACTGTTTTATATGATGAACAAATATAATATAGGCTTTTATTCACATATAAACATTGATCAACGCTCATAAAGAACATCAAATAAGGTCAACAGAAGCTCAACTGTGCTTGCTTTTTGTTTACATGGATTACTTTTATTATGTGTCTATGAACTTTTTGAAGCTTAAAAAAATTGGATGCATGTTACTATCAATGGAAGGACAGAAATCTTTCAGGTTTCAATGAAAATATATTTGTTTGTATTTTCAAGGCTTTGGAACGACACGATGGTGAGTAAGTTGTGATTTTTTTATTTATTTCATGATTGTTTAATTTTTAACTGAACTATCCCTTTAACATCCATCTAAATATAGGCACAAACATGTTCCAGTCCACATGCACAAGGTCGTCGAAAATGCATCATATTTGTGAAACGATTCCCTCTCATTCATCAAGCGAATCTGGGTTTCCCCCCAACGTCCTAACCATACCTGCTGAAGAAACAAATACATAAAATCAACTTTAGTATAAAGGCCTCAAAGTGAACAAAATACTAAATTATCCGTTCAGCTCTTACCTCCTTTCTCACTGTCGTAGTGGGACGCGTCAAACTGAGCATCATCATTAGGGATCTGAACACTGGCGATAACCAAGTGGTTCTGCTCATCCGAAGTGTGTGTGCCCAACACCAGCCGATGAACCACGTAGTCCTTTCCCTCAGGCCTGCAGAATGATAGACAATAAATTGTAGAGTCCTAGTCATGCGTTTCAGAAGATGGAAAGGCTAGTTATTGGATTACCTGTTCACATCAGGAAGCCACTGCACCGTCAAACTCGGCCACTCGAGTGCATGGGTCATGACTAGATCATACAGGAATGGTGTGTTTTTCTTCCAGATCTTGTATTCCTCATTTATTACTCTCTCCTCCACTGCATCGTCGTACACTAAGAAGAGAAAACAGATAGTTAAATTCGGGCCAAATGCATCCAAATGAACACATTTCACAATGATTGCATTGCGGGAGCTCATTGAGCAGTAAAAATTGTTGTATTCTCAAATAAATGAGCAGAAACGGAAGTGTAACACGATCAAGTTCCTCAACTAGTAACGTTAGTTACAGCGCAACATATGAATGGAGGGAAGTCAAGAACAACAAAATTTCATTTTGCTTTGAGGAAACCATTATTCCAGTCAGTAGAATAATTTAATAACGCCAGTAGCTTTAACCTAAGTGAACCGTGAGTATTTGGTAAAAACTGGCTCAGACTGCGACACTCATTCATTCTCATGTCAATATGTGGGTCAAATCCATTAGCACGTTAGGCTAAAGCTAACAAACTCTGCCAAAAATAAATAAAAATACTGCACGAAATTCACTACGTAAAAATTTTACCTTCTTTGTCTGCCATTTTGGCGTGCTTTTCTGCGGGGTAGCCACTTAATGAACTATGGGGTTTACAGCCAAAAGGCAGAAAAACAGCTTTGCACGGTTTTACGCTCACGACTCTTGCAACACTAGCTCGCTCGCTCGCTCGCTCGCGCATCCCACAAAGCACGCTGTCCGATTCACAATCGAGTCGTGCTTCTGAACCGACTCTTTTTATGAATCGGTCAAACTGATATGTCTCATATCTAATGAAAAGCAATACAAACTATGCAGCTGCTAAAAATGTAGTCCCCCCCCCCCCCCGCCAAAAAAAAAATT